AAAAAAAAAAAAAAGAGAGAGGGACAGAAGGGGGACCTGACGGGTTGCTCCCAAATACCTTCTTTTCTGTTTACAGTCTGATCCAGGAGACTGGTGAGATAGCTTAGCAGACTAAGTACCTGCTTAGACAAGCGCAGGGACTGGGGTTCAATCCCCAGCACCACATGCTGTGCCAGCCCCGCCCCCGGATGCACTGAGCTGACCACCGAGACCAGATGTGGCAGTGCACGCCTGTATTCCCAGTGCTTGGGAGGCTGAAAACAGGAGGATCCGTATGAATCTGAGCTGCATAGTGAGACCCTGTACCAAATACATTAAAAAAAAAATCCAGGATACCACATTGTTTTGTTTCAGTTTTTGGTGTTTTGAGACAGGATCTTACAGCATAATTCGAGCTGGCCTTGAACTCATTATGTAGCCCAGGCTGGCCTCAAATTTGTGGTGATCCTCCTGCCTCAGTTTCCCAAGGGCTGGGATTATGGGCATGTGCCAGGGCATGTGCCACCACGCCTGGTTTACCACATTGTATTTAAAGGTACATTTTCAATAATCATAGGTATAAATAATAGCTCACTGTGGATGTGCATTTCTGTGAGCAGTAAGAACCATTAGCTCCTCTTCATGTTATAAGACTTCTTTGTATTTCTTCTTCTTTGGACTACCTTGGCTTCAAGTTAATTGTCCACCTCTGCTGAAGTTTTGGTTGTAGTACTTACATATGTTAAATGACTTTTGTCAGTTTTGTATTGTAGTTACCTTGTTTGTTTTTGGTCTTTTTTAAAATTTTCTTGTATTTTTTTGGTTGAATTGTTTTTGTTTTTTATGTCTTTAGTACAGGTCTACAGGGTCTACAGGTTCTCACTATGTAGATGGGACCCGCAGTGTCTCCTGTTTTCAGCCTCCCAAGTGCTGGGATTACAGGTGTGCGTCACCATGCCCAGTCTCAATCAATGGTCTTCTCAGCATGCCCTGGAGGCAGGGCCAGCTCGGGATCAAACCCGGCCACTGTGCTCTGCCTAAGCAGGTACTTTAGTCTGCTGAGCCATCTGGCCAGCCCTGATTTTTTTTTTTTTTTTTTTTCTTTTTTGGTACCAGGGATTGAACTCAGGACCCTGTACTTGCCAGGCAAGCACTTACCCTACTGAGCTATCTGCCCGACCCCTGAATTGTTTTCTAGGTGAGGTTTATTTTTTGTTTTTGGTGCCAAGGACCAAATCCAGGGCTACCAGCTGGCTAGGCAAGCTGAGCTAAATCCCCATCCCCAAGTTTTGTATTATAAATGTATGACTTTTAATCGTTTTATTTATTTATTTATTTATTTATTTATTTATTTTGTGTGTGTGTGGCCAGCTTAGCCCACCAGGGGGCGGGGCTGGCTGGCATGTGGTGCTGGGGGATTGAACCGTGGTCCCTGTGCTTTGCTTAGATTAGCTTGTTCTAAGTAGGTGCTTTAGACCACTGAGCCATCTCACCAGCCCCCCCCTTTTTTTTTTTTTTTTAATTTTATTTATTTATTTATGTGTGTGTGTGTGTGTGTGTGTGTGTGTGTGTGGCCAGCTCAGCCCACCAGGGAGCGGGGCTGGCTGGCATGCAGTGCTGGGGAATTGAACCGCGGTCCCTGTGCTTTGCTAAGCTTGTTCTGAGTAGGTGCTTTAGACCACTGAGCCATCTCACCAGCACCCCCTTTTAATCATTTTAGATTGTCCCTGGTTAGAACTTACAGATTTCCATATCATTTATGAATCCTTTTATTCTGGTTGGGGGATTGAATTAAGGGCTTGAACATGCCAAGTATTGCGGTATGAAGCCTGAGCTAAATTCCCACCCAAACCTCTCTCTTCATCAGTCTTGGCTGTCTT